GTGGCTGAAATTGAGCATTTTCGGAGACCAATCTGCCCAAAATTCGAGTGCTCGAAATAAGGGCTTCGAGCACTCGAAAATGGGGCAGAATGCTTCATTCTTGAGTTGCTCCGCCCGGACCTACTTTGGTAAAATGGCCATAACTTTGTGCTCTAAACTCTGAATGATGAACCGTTTAAATATTTGGAAAGCTAATTCAGAACTCTAAAAACTTTATGTTTTGGTGAAGATCCAATTCTTAAGTCTGGTAGGTCAAAATTGAAGAGCAAGGAAGAAATTCATTGCTGCCAGGCAGTTCTGAACACCTCTGATAACAAGGCCATAACTCTCTGCTCCAAACTCTGAATGACGAACCGTTTGAAGATTTAGAAAGCTAATTCAGAGCTCTAAATATGTCCTGTTATGATAGAAGTCCAATTCTTGAGTTTGCAAGGTCAAAATGGCGAGCAAAGTCCAGGATCCACTGCTGCCAGAAATTCAGCATTAGCACTTTGATATTCAAGACTTTGTCAAAACATCACTCTTGCTCCTTTTTGGCCAATGGACCTGAAAATATACAAAAACATGCAAATGAAAGTAATCTACATAATATAAGCAAACAATGGACTTAAATAATGCAATTAAGGGCGCTTGAATATACAATATTTGGCGTTTATCACCTCTCTCTTTATATTTCACATATAGATATCTTCACATATAAGTTTTAAATTTGCATGATATCAATGCATACTCTCCATTGCAAATTGAATCAACCTATTGAAGGATGAAAATTGAAGATTGAAGATTGGGATTTGAAGAGAAATTTGAAGTTTGAAAGAGGAGTTTGGGTTTACAAAATTTCTAGTGGATTTGGTTGAGTTTTTGGCGATGTTTCTTGGGGTTTGACATTAAAGGCTTTGGGGTTGATCAATTAAAGATTCTTGCTTGTTGATTGTTGATTGGTTAGGGGTTTTGAAGGTTCAAAACAAACTTGTCCAAGAACAATTGTTGAAGCGCACTCCAGGTGTTCGACAAAACTACCGAGCGAAGTTCGGGGCCTCAAACCAAAATTTTTCGAACATAAGATGCCTCCAATATTGTCTCGGAAGGCCAAAGGAAAAAGACTTGCTACTCCTCCACCTCCAAAGAAAACCCGAACAACGATTTCCATTTGGGAACCACAAGAGGGTTCACATACTTCTAGGGATGAACCAAGTTTGCCTATGCGTTCTTCCTCACCTTTTTACTGAGATACCACTTGGGTATCCTTCAGTTTTTGACATCAGGAAGGTTGAGTTTGCTTAAGAATACTTCTACAATGAGTTTACATAGAAGGTATACACTTGATGAGCACTGAAAAGTGTACATTTAAACCCCTTAATCTTGAATGTTCTAGGACCTTTATCTATCGTATTTTTCCGTTTTAGTCTAATTTTATGTTATTTCCCTTTTCAGGCACTTATCTCCAAAACATGTCAAATCAGCTGAATTAAAGCATTGGAGGAAACAATCTAAAGTCTAGTTGAAGAAAGGAGCAAAGTAGAAGCAAAGTGGTGAAAAAGTCCTCTATGATCGATCGAACCAAGCCAGGATCAATCGCATTGCAATTGTTCTAACCATGCCATGATGGATCGAACCCCTTGTCCTTATCCTCATGAAAATTTCCTTTTATATCGATCTGACATTTCCTTCGATCGATCGAACCTTTTGATCTTATCCTCACCAATTACTTTTGTCCTTTTTCCATAAATATCTCAGCCTTTGTCCTTATCCAAATAAATGTGCCGCTTTACTTCGATCGATCAGAGCAACCATGTGATCGATCGAACTGCCTCAAATTACGTGCAAAACAGATTTCAAGCTGAATTGAAGGTGTACTCGTGGTGTAATCATTTAGAGGTCCTTGTGCACGAGGTCTGACCATTGGGTGTGACATTTGAGCTACTTATATAAGGAATTTGGCTATTTTTAGAAGGAGGTTGGTTAGTGATGAGCTTTGAAAAGTGCCCATTTAAACCCCTTAAGCTCGAGTATTCTAAGACCTTTATCTATCTTATTTTTTTGTTTTAGATTAATTTCACATTATTGCCCTTTTCAGGTGCTTATCCCCAAAATAAGTCAATTTAGCCAAATTAGGTCATAAAAGAAGCAATCTCAAGCTAAATGGAAGAATGGAGCAAAGTGGAAGCAAAGTGGTGGAAAATAGCAAGCTTCGATCGATCAGACATATTTTCAATTGATCTCACAGTGATTGATCCAGCCTTGCTAAAATGGATCAAACCCCTTGTCCTTATCCTTAAGAATTTCCATCTTCGATTGATCCAACTTTCTTCAGATCGATCGAACTTTTTTCATCTTATCCCCACCTACCACTTTTATCTTTTTCCCAAAATATCCCAAAAATATCTCAGATTTGTCTCTTTCAAAAAAGGCGCCGCCAAGGATTGATTAATCTGGTCTTACTTCGATTAATCTGGCCATAGTTCGATCGATCTCATCTGAATTCGATCAATCGAACCTCCTCAAGTCCGAAATAAAATAGAGTCCAGCTCATTAAAAGATGGCTCGTGGTACAATCATTGAGAGGACCCTAGTGCACGAGACCTGACCATTGGGTGTGACACTTGAGCTACCTATATAAAGATTTTGAGCCATTTTTACATCATATATCATCATATACAATCTTGGAGAGGAGGCTAGAGATTAGAGAGACATACACTATTTAGGAGTTTTTCCATTCATCTAGGGTTTTCCTCAAGAAGAAGATCATTCCTACCATGGAGATGGCCCTTAAGGGTTGGATGACTACATCAATGAGTGGCTAAACATCTTCTTGGGGTTAGAGTTAGCCCTAACCATGCCTTCTAGACTTTAATATTTTGTATTTTGAGGGGATTTGTGTTGTAATCTTGTCTTGACATTTGATTTATATATGAATCTTGTTTTTACAATGATTTGTGTTGTTTAATACTTCCAATTGATCATTTCATTCTATTCATATATCTATATATGCTAGAATAGATATTCATGTGTTTATCTCTTGGTTTTGTGATATTGATGCATGTCTATGTGTATTGATGCTATGAATCTAAAGATTGTCAAGGTATAGTGAAATAGAATACTCTTGTGATTTGTTTGATGGTTCATACTCATTTCTTGATGGATTGTGCCTCTACATTAGTTTAATTTTCATGTCCTTAGCTTAGATGTAGTGTAGTTGTTTTACTTTCTTAGATGTAAGGATAATCCATGCTTGTTGTTTGATGTTCCATGCTTATGAATGCAAGTAGTATAATTCTCTAACTTGTTAGTGTGTTGATTGTGAGCTTAAAGGAAGGAATAATGGCTTAGTTTGATATATTGTGCTATTCACTAGGTTGTCTAGATAATGTATACTTAATTGGTCATCCATACTTGTTAATTCAATCAATCACATCTCTTTGTATTGCAATACATATTTCCCCTCATTCATTACACATTGAGTGTCTAAAAAGGTGATGTTTAGTGGTGACCTCTAGATCCTAAGACCTCTCTTTCTTGTTCTCTACTCTTTATTTATTTTAGTTGCTTTGTATTGAACATATTTACATTGTAGTTTAATTAACCAATCAAACCATCTTTTGATTACTCGACCTACTAATACGACCTTGTTTCCATTTCAAACATGCATTCGATCCCTTGGGACGATTCCTACTCACCCTAGCTATATTAGTAGTTAGAGGTAGTAGTGGCACTTTATAAATTTAAACTTGGCCACACTTCATTGCAATTTGGTTGCTTCGGCGAGCGACACACCAAGTTTTGGCGCCGTTACCGGGGATTGATTTGGCAACGCCGTGTTTTGGAAACAATTAGGAATTAGTACTCTTTTGATCGTGTTTTTACTTTACTTTATTTTTAGTTACTTATTTTGTTCATTCTTGATTGGCTAGGTGAATTGAGCAAAGGAAGTCAAGCAAGGGAGAATTGAAAAGCAAGGAGCTAAGCTAAGCATAAAAAGGCTAAAATCTAAAAAATTCCAAAGCTAAGTGAAAATTGAAAGGAAAAAAAAATGAATTGAAGTTGCTTAAGGACCCTTTGTGAGCTTTTCTAAACTCAATCTCTAGTTAAATCGTCGGCCCGCGTGGTGGTAAGTTCTTAAATTCTTAGATAGATCGTGAGCCTGCATGGAGGCAATTTACTTTTCTTTGCATATTGTTGAAAGCATGGGAGTATGGGATCATCGTATGTGGAGGATGTTTGATTATTGATTTGTTGTGGAGGCGAAGTGATTGCTATTTGATTGACTACTTGTTATTTATTTTGTTAGTGCATGCATGGTCGTAGGTCATTAAATCCTACCCTTGTCCCACTTGATTTCCATCTTGAATCAGTTGTTTGTAATCCTAGGGAAAGAGGTAGTTCTTATTAATCCATTTCATCAATGGACGAGCAAAATGACGACCATGTGGAGGATCTTGGTCACATAGACCAACAGGGTATCCTTTACCCTAATGTGCATCATGACAACATCCAAGTCCCATTAGGCATGCCTAGACCATTCATTCTACCACAACAATAAGGCCAAATTCCATTGGGAATGCCTCGGCCAATTTTTGCTCCATAACCTCCTATGGTTCAAGTTAATCACGGTGTTTATTTAGCACCATCGGTTGGGAATCCTCCCATTGATTTGAGTGATCATTATGTTCTAAATGAATACAATGCACCGACATGCATTCGATTGCCCCCATTTAGAGCACATCACTATGAGATTAAACCGCAAACTATTCAAATGCTTCCTAACTATCATGGACTTCCAAGTGAAGAGTTGTACCAGCATTTGGATGAGTTTCTTAAAATATGTTCCACCGTGAAATACACGGACATGCCGGAAGAGGTTTTAAGACTCAAACTTTTTCCTTTTACCCTTAAAAACAAAGCAAAATATTGGTTCAACAATCTTAGGCCTTTTTCGATAACTTCTTGGGCAGAAATACAACAAGAGTTCTTGAAGAAGTACTACCCAATATCAAAGACCAATGCTATGAGAACTTCCATTCCTGAATTTTCTCAAGAGGATAGGGAATTTTTTCATGAGGCACGGGAAAGATTTAATAATTTGCTTAGGAAGTGTCCACATCATGACATTCCTAAGTGGTAATAAGTCCAATACTTTTTTAAGAGTTTGCCGGATAATAAAAAAAGGAATGGTCGCTGCATTTATGGGTGGTTCTTATCTTGATAAACATGAAAATGATTTTTAGCAATTGTATGAAAGTATGAGTGAAAATTCCATGCATAGATCCTTATCTTCCAAAAATGGTAGAGTTCTAGGTAGAAGGAAGAATGTCGGCTTATATCGAGTTGACAATTCATATGACATAGCCGCTGAAGTGAAATCTTTAACTCAAAGGTTTAATCAATTTTTGATCAACCACAATTCGGCAAATCAAGTGTCTTCCTCCCCTAATCATGTTCATCATTCATTTAATGAATCTTGTATGACTTGTTCTAGTGTCTTACATTCTACTTCCAATTGTCCCCATGGATATGCACAAAATGAGCATTATGAACAAGTTAATACTGCATTTGTTAACCAAGGGAATAATCCCTATGGCTCACACTGTAATCCCGGGTGGAGGAACCATCCAAACTTCTCTTGGAAAAGCCAAGGGGAAGGCTCCAACCCTCCCCAAGGTGGTTTTCAAGGAAAGTATGTTCCACCTCCAATGTAAAGCCAAGGTTCCCAAGGTTATAGATCTTCGTTTCAATCATCACATGGAAACCAATTTTCAAACTCTCATTTTCCTAATCAATCATCTTATTCTCAAGGAAATTCTAGGAGTCCCGTTTTTGAGAAAAAATTGTTGACCGCTTTGGGTACTCTAGAGGCAAACACTCAATTGCTTCATTCCCATTCTCAATCCATTACGAAGCTAGAAACCCAAGTCGGGCAAATAGCTAGTACCTTGAATGCTAGAGAGAAAGGGAAGATGCCTCTAAATACCCCACCAAAGCAACAATTTGTGGTGGAGACCAATTCCTCATCAGAAGGTCACATAATTGAACATGTTAATGCGGTGACAACCTTAAGGAGTGGAAAAATTGTTGACAACCAAGTAGGTGTTTCTAATGAGGAGAATGAATCGGTGCAACCCAAGGTTACCCATCTCGTTTCACATTCTATTCCGGCTTATGCCAAATTTTTGAAAGATCTTTGCACCCAAAAGAGGAAGAACAAAAGCCAAGCACCAAAGAAAGTGGTCTTGACCGAGCAAGTGAGCTCTATTTTGCAACACAACACTCTCCTAAAATTTAAGGACCCCGGTTCACCTACCACTTTTTGCATCATTGGTGATTATGTCATTGGAGCAAGTGTTAACCGTCTTCCATACCTGGGATATGTTAAATTGGGTTTAGGAGACTTAAAACCGACGTCGGTAGTTTTGCAACTTGCCGACCGATCCATTAAAAAGCCCCGGGGTATTATTGAGGATGTATTGATCAAGATTGATAATTTCTTCTTCCCCATTGATTTCGTTGTCATTGACACAGAATCAGTTCTGAATCCCAAGAGCCAAATTCCCGTTATCCTTGGCCGTCCTTTCTTGGCAACCGCAAATGCTAACATAAATTGTAGGATGGGGATAATGAAAATCTCATTTGGCCACATGAAAGTGAAGTTAAACATCTTTAATCCAACCCCAAATTCAATGGATAAACATGAAGAGGTATATGTTGTGGAAAAATGTATTGACAATGAACTTGAAAAACGTGAGTCTTTGCTTGAAAATGGAATTCCCAAGAATGTTGTTTCAAAAACAAAGTTTGAAAGGGCATGGAAGCACAAGAATTGCATAGACCAAGGACCGTCAATCTCCTTTGATTCAAATCCTACAAGTTCTTTAGGGAACAATTTGTTTGGTAGGATTCAAAGTGCTTTTCACCCCGTCAAGGAGGGGATGCATAACAAAATCTTTGATTCGGGCTATAAGAGCCCAATCATCGAACATTTATCTCTGCATCCAATCATCTCTCTGTCCCATCGAGCGTAAATTTCCTGTATATTTCAGCTCTCTGTGTATCGTGCGAACCTCATTCTCGATCGATCTGAAATTCCAAGATCGATCCAGTTTTCCCTCGGATCGATCTTCATTCCATACTTATAAAAAATTTTGAAGCCTTGAAAAAACACCTCTCTGTGTATAGATGATCGGTTGATCAACTATACATCAACCTTCGCAATAGCACGAATCATTGTAAAATAGGGCTATTGGTCGGATAAGTCGAACCACTAGGACTGCGCTAGTCTATGGCAACCTAAGAGTCTAGATTACTTTTAGAATGATGAGGGGGTATATAGAGTTTTGTTGGTTTGTCACTTAGTCACTAGAATTGAAATGTGCTTAAAGAAATAAATGCAAGGAATTTAAGAGGAAGAAGTCTAGAAAAGGAGGTCTAGGGAAGTGAATTCACCACCAATCCTATAAACATACTAAATTTCTATTAACTTGGGAAACAATTTCATTACATGGCAATGATATGTAGCAATACTAGATTGCTACATTATCCTCAAGAAAATCATAGGATCAAGATTTAAGTATAATCCCTCAAAGAGCCACATGCTAGAACTACCTAGATTAGGGTGTAGCCATAACATGCTCACTAAGCTAGGGACCATCAAACCCCTCAATCACTATGGTAATAGCACATGAAGTCAAGATACAAGATTAATCCATCAAAAGGAAGTCTTAAGCTATGGATTAACAAATTTCTCATACAACATGCCTTTAAACCCATTTCACAATTTCATTTCCATTCTCACTATGAAGATGCAAGTTATATAATCATGAGAGGATAAAATCTAAGACAAGATAATGAACTCAACATGATCATTTATAGGCATTGAAATCCATTACAACAAGTGTAAGTGCTCTAAATCATGAAACTACCATGTACATGAATCATTCCCCAAATTAGATGAAATTAAAGCATGCTTACAAGAGAGAGATTCATCACCTCCCTAGATGGAGGTTTAGTTATCCATGGATACAAAAATGGAAGAAGGAAGCTTGGAAGAATAAGCCATTTTCGAGCTCCCTTCCTTTGGCTTCAAGAACACACCTTCCTTGCTCTCTTCTCTCTCTCTGTCTTCTCAAAAAAATGAAGCTTAATGATATGTGTGGCCTTTCTTGCCTTATCTCCTTCAACAAAGCTCTCTCTCTCCTCCAAAAATATCCCTAACCACCTCATAAAGAAGTAAGTAGAAAATGAGGAAACCAATGCACAAGTGGCTGCCAAAATGAGAATTCCCGAAGGCAATTCTGCCCCAAATTCGAGCACTCTAAGTAAGGCCTCGAGCACTCGAAAATGGAGCAGATTGCTCCATGCTTGCTTTGATTTGCCCGGACCTACTTTGGTAAAACAGCCATAAATTTGCGGTCCAAACTCCGAATGATGAACCGTTTGAAGATTTGGAAATCTAATTCAGAGCTCTAAAAACTTTATGTTTTGGTGGAGATCCAATTCTCAAGTCTGGTTGGTCGAAATTGAAGATCAAGGCAGAATTTCATTGCTGCCAGGCAGTTCTGCGCACCTCTGGTAACAAGGCCATAACTCTCTGCTCCGAGCTCCGAATGACAAAATGTTTGAAGATTTAGAAAGCTAATTCAGAGCTCTAAATATGCCATTTTATAATGGAAGTCCAGATCTCGAGTTTGCAAGGTCAAAATGGCGAGCAAAATCCAGGTTCCACTGCTGCCAGAAATTTAGCATTGTGACCTTTGATGTTCAAAACTCCACAAAGCATCCTTCTTGCTTCTTTTTGGCCAATGAACCTGAAAATATGCAAAAATGTGCATATGAAGGTAATCTACATAATTAAACAAACAATGGACTTAAATAATGCAATTAAGGGCGCTTGAATAAGCAATATTCGGCGCTTATCACACCCCCAAACTTACATTTTGCTAGTCCCTTAGCAAAACCAAAATGAATACTTCAATGAAAATACAACCATGGGCATGCTACTACAAAAATATCATCCATGGTAAAATGAGATATATACATAGCTCAAAAATAACTTGAAACAGAAAAAGAGCTGGAGATGGGGTCATTGGAAAGACTACCTTGCATATATGAAGCATTGATACTAAACACATTTCAACATGCATGTATCAACATCATAGTCCATATAAATAACTCAATTGTCATCTCTTAAATGGAAATCAACTCTAACTTCAGTGAAAGTGGATTGGATTCTCAACATGCGGCTTTTACTTTCTTTTCCAATTCCAAGACACGAGTTTTCAAATCACTGAATTCCCTTTTAAATGAAGTCCCTAAGGCATGATTTTATTTACAAGACAACTTTTGTTGCTTGCTGACACTTTATTATAACTCAAAAGCGAAACATAGAATGGTTGTGCAATGCTGAAGTCCCTTAAGCTTTCTAACCAACCTATGTAGCAAGCGTTAGGCCAACAACTCCCAAACCAGATGGCTTTAGGGTGTTAAGTGTAGAGACACTCCAAAGGGCTTAATAGCTCAAGTTGGAAAGGCTACGAACTCTAGCGAACCATGTTTATTACAATTTTTTTGAATGACCGTGCAATGTTAAAGTCCTTTAAGCTTTCTAACCAACCCTTATAGCAAGCGTTACGCCAACAACTCCCAAACCAGACGGCTTTAGGGTGCTAAGTGTAGAGACACTCCTAGGGTTTAATAGCTCGAGTTGGAAAGGTTACGAACGTCAACTGGTCATTTTTTTTTTTTTCTTTCTTTCTCATTTTTTTTTTTTTTTTTTTTTTTTTAGACAAATTAAATCATGCCAAAGATATTCATCTATCAGGTTCATCAAATCAGATTAACTAGGCTAAGGTCAAGGTTGATCAAGTTGCATGCCTTACAGTTAAGTTTCCAATGTGCATATGTGCATTGTGAAGCTTAAAAGAGTGTCAAATCCAGTGAGAATCTAATTGAGACATTTATACAGACTAATTTGAATCCACATGATCATTTCAACTCAAATTTTTCTTTATTTTCAAAAATGTCAATTGCTTCTATACACAAGGTATTAAACATATGCTTCGTCTCCGACAAGTGTCAAGTTATACTATCATTGCTTAGCAAAAATACAAAACCAAAAA